AAACCATTAAAATTTGAATTCAGTTTTAATCAGGTTGACTCAGAATTTTCAGATTCGAGTCCTTTCAAAACCTGAGCTAGAAATAAAATTAATGATTAATTCCCTTATAGAATTAATGACTTAAATGACAGTTAAGTCCCTACACCCATGTTAAATTCTCTAATCACCGCTAAAATATAGTCCCACTCAATTTGGTCAAACGCCTTTTCTGCATCCAAGGCAAGTATTGCAACGCTGGTTTTAGAATCAAATCTGGTATATAGGATATTCATTAATCGTCTGACATTAAAAATGGAAAAACAGAGGGGAATAAAACCAGATTGGTCAAGATGAATATTTTTTTTCAATACAGTTATTTAATCTGTTAGCAAGTAAGCAAGTGTATCTTGATTTGTATGTTTGGATATTTGTAATGGAAAACAAGTCAAAAGAATGAGAAAATATTTTTTTTGCAGTGTATTTAATAAGCACAACAAACCAAAAACATGCATTAAGAAAGTAAACAATATTTGATATTGACTTTTTTTTTTTTTTTGACATTTTGGTTTAATTTCTGTCTTTCTTAGTTCTTGTGGTCAGGTCTAGCATCTGGTGGACATTAGCTCTGTCAAAGGTTTGGACTTGGTTACAGTAAAGCTGTTGCCTTTGTTATGATCAGGTCTAATTGTGCACACATACAACATATGGGGTGTAATTCTGAGGATGAAAAACATTTATTTAGAGACAAAATGTGTCACCTGCCTAGAGCTTACAGCAGATGCAGTCAAATATCGTGCTTTATAATGGTAATGTTTGAAGAGTTTCTCTCTGTTTGTTATTGATTTGTTTATCTGCTTCAGCAACCGCTTGTCCTGTGTATCAATCTCAATGTATTTGTATACATACATATGTCTCGCTGAGTAACAAAGCCCACATTTCCTGACATAACTGCAGGTTTGATGCTAAGACATGAAACATAACCTGAACACACTGCGCAAGCTGGATTTCAATATTCATGCTTGCAAAATGTTGAGCAGGCATTCATGTTTACACAATGTAAACTGTTCAAAAGTTGGGGTTTAAAGAAATAATACTTTTATTATAAACATTAAATTGATCAGAAGTGACAGTAAATACATTTTTAATGTTACAAAAGATTTCTGTTTTAAATAAATGCTGTTCTTTTGAACTTTATTTTCATCAAAGAATTCGGAAAAGATGTAACATGGTGAAATAATAAACAGCACTGTTTTTAACTAGTAATAATTAGAAATGTTTCCTGAGCAGCAAATCGACATATTAGAATGATTTCTGAAGAATCATGTGACACTGAAGACTGGAGTAATGATGCTGAAAATTCAGCTTTGCATCATTGGAATAAATTACGTTTTAAAATATATTCAAATAGAAAACTGTTAGAAAGCAGAATGAAGCTCCTGCTGAAGAAGAGCTGAAGGCCTCCATCTACAAGAAACATCAGTAGCAGAAATATAACAACATATAGCCTTCCGCAAGCAACCGTTTCTGATGTAAACAAGGAACTTCGGAAAATTCTAATGAAGCACAAGCACTAATCGAATCATCATCCATGTGGGGAAGAATGATATTCGGAAAGAGCAGTCAGAACTCCTTAAGAAGGACTTCAGTGAACTCTTTGAAACACTTCGAAGACTTGAAGTTCAGTCATTCATCAGTGGACCACTCCCAGCAAGGGGAATTAATATGTTTTCACGGTTGCTTGGGCTGAACACATGGCTACAAAGAATCTGCAGCTTAAAAGGAGTCAGTTCATCGACAACTTCAATCTTTTCTGGGGCCATAGACAACTGTTTAAACTGGATGGCCTCCACCCAAACAAACTTGGTGCAAGAGTGCTAAAGGACAATATCTACTTCTCCCTCCATCATCCTTCAGTAGTGTGTGCCAAACCACTCAACCTGAATGGCACACACACACCTGGACAGAGTATGAGTGACCACAGGACTTCATATCAGCTTCCGAGTCATCATGTGGTTGACACATCCCACAAGGACACTGATAACACCACGCAGCCACAACAAGCACTGCTCATGGACACCATCCCGGCTGAGCCCTGCCCACAGAGCTCATCACAGACAGACTGTGACGTATCAGAACAGCTCTAAGACTCAGCACCCAAGGACGACTTTCTGGAAAACAACCAGGGAAGCCAGGACAACATATTTTAGCCACCAGAAACACCAGAGCCACAGCTGGCACAGCTTTATGCTGGGACCAAACTTTCCCACTCTTTTGCTGCAAGCCCCCAGATATCAACTAAAAAACGGCGGGCCCCACAACCACCAAAGCCTGTGGGCCCAGCTTGTCCTACTCTAGTGAGAGCTCTCCGGCCACTGCCACAACGCCAGGGACCAAACCCTCCATCTGCTGTAGGTGAACCAAAAACAACTGATAACACCAAGCATTTCTGCAGACTCTGTTTATCTTCTCCTTGATTCCTTTAACTCAAAAGTTAAGAATGTTATTGATGATATTGCTCCTGTAAAAGTCAGTAAGAAGTCTGGCAGACAAAAATCAGCTTGGAGAAAATCAACAGCGTTCAGAGTATGAAAAGGCAATGCAGAAAATCTGAGCGATGTGGCGGAAGACGAAACTTGAAATTCACTATAGCATCTATAAAGACT